TAGTGACTTAAAATTACACTGGTTGTAGATTGTAAAGCCAATTAAAGGGAAGATACAACATTCGCAAACATAAAAACACGAAATGATCAAATTCTCACGGAATACCTTACTGAATTGTTAGGGAATGACAGTCTAAAGCATCCTCTAAAATCGTGGCTCCTGGTGTGCTGACATTTTAAAGAAAAAGTGTATTTTTCCAATGCTGGTCGGCCGACCAGCGTTGAAAAAACTGGCTTTTTTCAAAAACTGTACCTAATTTTTCATATCGCATTTTCTTTGCAATTGCAAAGCCTAGCCTGCTAGACTGATTTTTTGACCTTACAATTCCCCAAACTCTATAAATTGACCAGTTTCATCTTAAGTGGCGTCAGGGAACCAGACTACAAGAACACGATGGGTTTTCTTGGTTATTCCAGCATCTCACAAGCCCAAAACATGAAACAAGTCCGTTTAACAATATTTGCTATATCAAGCTATTCTTCCAAATCCATTGTTTTCTGAAAATTGCAGCGAAAGCAAATGTTGTACATTCCCTTTAATGGACCAAACCCGACCCATTGTGTAGACCAGATGCGTGAAAAGACTTCTGTGGATAGCCACTGTTCCGAATCAATTGAATGGAATTTTGCGCTCTCTGGGAACAGCTTTACTCGGCTTTCCCTTTTTGTCTTTTTTCCCCTTGTTTTGACTTATCTGAATTTTAAACTAAATCTTTCTGTTTTTCTTTCTTTACAGTATTAGGTCCAATCATCGGAGGAGTGGTTTGGGACCATCGAAGAATGACACGTGTTTGAACGTCGGTGAAGGGCAAAAAAACTATTTTGATTTATATCACCCCGACGCAAAATTCCATCTTATGACAAGTGTTTTGTTTGAAATCGTCCCTTCTTAACCAGTCACGGCAATAAAAACAGTAACGTTTAAAATTTTGAGTTGAATCCAAACTTTGATAGTAATTATAATTGACTGTTTCTCTGACTAGTTGCATTGTGCGCTGATAGCCCGTTGTAGTAAAACAAATGCACTATAAATGGCAAATAGTACGCATACTTATGAAGTACATTGAAAACAATCTATTAAAAGTAAAACTGAGGCCGAAAAACCATATTTTGCAGATTATCGATTCTACTGTGCTTCACAATGTTAGAACTCAAATATTTGTAATCGACGCATGAGACCTTACTTGTAAAAAACGGACGTATGTTTGTGAAGGTCTTTCGAATGTGAATGAATTAACAAAAATAATAGTAAGATCCTTTGAACGGGTACTACCAGTCTGATATGTTTATGGAATTATGAGAGGAGGCCAACTATTCTTGGCTTTTGTTTGGAGTGGGATGGTGCTGTCTTGGTCAACAGCACATTTTATTTTTTAAACCGTCTTCATTGATTTTTCTCCGAGCGTTGCCATTTCAGGCAGTATAATTTCACAGGTATAATATTATGACTAGTTCTTTCTTGACTTTGAGCAATATTTTTTTTCTCGTTAAATCGATGCCTACGTGTCTTAAACATAGTCTTATGCCCGCGTAACCAAATATTTTTTTTCTCCAAAGATAGCGAACATACACATTTTGAGTAAAACTAAAATATCAATTGCGAGGAAAAAGTGAATCTGCGGCCGAGTGGGGGGGGGGGGGGGAATCGTCAGACCCCGACCCATACGGGTCTGTAACGCGCTATTAATTTGACAGACAATGTTGCTTTTGGACTAGTTCGTTACTTAAATTGAAAAAAATGATAATAAACCACACAAAAATCCAAATAACTCAGTACATGAACAACATTCCGTCTGCCCTCGATTTGCGCTCCAGCGGCGTTAGACGAAGTTTCTACCTGAAAATTAATGAAATCCAAGGTTTTGTTCATGATTATGTGAATTTCTATGGAAGCCCTGGAATAGCTTGCAAATAACAAAACAAAGACTGAATTAAAGGATTCCATTTTATGTTTATGGACTATTCACTTTTAAAGTCTTTTAGTTGTGATGAAATAAAATATTGTATTGTATTGTATTCCACATTGGCAAGAAGTTAAGACAGTTCCGATGACGCATGTTCTATATATTTGTACAGGCCTATACACTCGGATTGAATGCATCATGAAAAAACCAATAACGACCTCAATTGAAGTATTTTTGTCAATTTATTATATCTTAAAATTGAAAACGATTTTGTACACAACTACAGGGTGAGTGAAAAAGAACGTGACATAGATTTATGATTGTTTTTTTTTTCTTCTTAAAAAGCGATCAAATTTGATACACAAATGAAGTATGTCTTAAAAGGGCATTTTAATTATTCTTTCACTTATCTGCCACAAAAATACTTAAATTGATCCATGCTATCAGTATGCATGTTTATTAAAATGACCTTTTTTAAGCTGTCCATGGAATGCCATTGGAAGCAACTGAGCTGAGTCCGAATTACAAATTGAACAGAAGAAGATTTTAATCATTTGAGTCAAGACTGAAACATTTTTTTTACTGTCAGATTTTGGGTTTTGAATATGAGGAACAAGTCAACTTTTTTTCCCGAAATATTGATGGCGATTTTTGTCTGCTTTTCTTTGCAAGTTTTCGTTCAGTCATGAAGGTGGGAAAACGTCTATGTTTTATTGTATTTAATGGATATTCATCAGTTCGTAGAACGGTAAAATGATAAGAGGTGGGCAGCCGAATTGTGCCATCTTTTTATTAAAATAGACATAACGTGTGAACAGAGTATGCAAATTACGTGAGTTGTTCATAGTTACTAGTCAATAACATGCACTTTATCCCTATGTTATTTTTATGAAATGGAGCGAGCCACAATTTTTTTTAAACATTTTTTCTTCTTCTAATTTTGTCACTTACTTTTTGACTCACCCTCTACTATAAGTCAATTACACAAATATATTTACATACAATACGATTAAATGATAAGCCGCTATTGGACGAACTAATAAGGTGATGTACAACATTTGCATTCGTCGAAATGTTAGGAAATGAACTGAATTGGGGGCCAGCAATTTATAGCAGGTATCGCTCAATTTACCAGTTCAGTGTTTCATGTCCACTGATGCCAGAAAAAAAACGAGAAAAAAACGCTGTTACTTTTCAACAGTCAAAGTGCAACCTGCTAAATTTAACACAGGATATTCATAAGTGCCGGCTGTGTCGGAAAAAATTACATAATTGGGTGCGTAACCGAGTGTACGATACGAGGTCATTGGCTGGTTTGCCAGTTGCGTAGCCGGGGGAGGGGGGGGGGAGATTGCAACGGGTTGGAGATTTTAAGAGCAAAATCGGGACGCCAATAGAAGCAAAATCGGGGTGGTGAAAATGGGTTTAACGGGACGAACATTCTTTTTTGCATCGGTCAAACAAAACCCTGCAGGCCACGCGCCTGTGGTTCGTGCCCGGTAACGGATGTAGTATTTGAAGTATAGTTTACCATTTTCACAGCAATAGTTCGGCCCCAACCATCGTAAATTTTATTCTTTTTGTCTTCATGAAAAATACATCACACCATACGTTTTCTCAAGGTGCTTTATACTATATCATTTACATTCAACCAAGTAGGCTATTTCATAATATTTTGGCAGGCCGTTTTTTGAATATTTGCAAATGTTGCACATCACCTTTAATTAAAGGGGAAATCATGAATTTATCAATCACACGTTTGAATTTGACAAATATATCCTTTCTACACACTACACAAATGCAATATGTACACGGCCGCATCTTTTTGTTGTGACCGAAAACCGGATTTCATAATAATATAGTACGATCTCACAGTGGAGGTCTATAGTTATATATTAATAATAATCCCGACGGCAGGTTAAATATGAGATCATTTTGCAGAATAGACCTGATGCGTTGCACCTGCAGGTACCTCACAGGGTGTTCTGTGTTTGATTTAATTTAATATGGGGGTTGGAACACCCCCACACCCAGTGGCGGCGCTACGAGGGGAGGGGGAGGGAGCTGGGAGTGGCATTTCTCCCCCCCCCCCCCTGAAAAGCCAAAAAAGAGAGGAAGAAACAAAGAAAGAAAAAGAGGCGTGAAGTCATATATTTATTAATTGTATACACATTTAACAAAATGGGCGTCTGCAGGGGTGTCATTGGGCTGGTTAAATGTCCCCCGCCTACCCTCGCAAAAATGATAAATTGAGAATATGCCAGAAAATCTAGAAGGATTCTTTTTGGGGGAAAAATGTGCTTTGGCCCCGGCCCCCCAGAAAAAGTCCAGGCGACGCCCATGTGAAAGCTTGATAAACATTGGTACTTTGGTAGACAAAACACGCCACACATGCATTTATGCAGCCGTAGATAGTGGCTTATTGCCGGACCATTGACTGCCCCCCCCCCAAAAAAAAACCCATATATTACCTTGCCCCAAAATTCTCCCCCCCCCCCCCCCCAATGTTAGAGTCTGGCGCCACCACTGCCCACACCCCTCCCTCTAGCGACGCCGGGACGAGCATTTGCTCTATGCATGTATCTTGATTTGGTATTCGCTGCTTTACTCTACAGCCTCCTTTTTGTTTCAATATGACGATCTCGCCCATGCCTTTGAGCGAATTGTTGCCAAGGTAACACTCATCCCAGTGATGAAAATATTACAAAAAATTAACGAATTAATGAGCTCTGAATGTCTTCAAACGTTTCCGAAATTCTGTCTTCAAGTGACGTTTCCGAAAAAAAATTCCTTCAGTTTTTGTTAAACATCCAGAACTTGAACTTCATATCACCAAGAAAACAATCTATCCTTAAAATACGAACTAACGAAATCATTTTTTTTAATCAGTAGGCCTAAATGGCGCGAAATAAGTTGTATTTATGTAGTAAATCTATGCTACTAGTCTTCAGATCCGCGCATGCGTGGTTAAATAATTACGGCCAAGAGCAATGTGAATAGCACAAGTGTAAAAAGGTGCATTTTAATGTCCGTTAATAATATTAATTAAATTTTTTTTTCGGAGCCTGTAGGGGCGGGGCTAAGATCACTCCTCCCCCTAATCATATGTACACGCTCCCGGATCACTCAGCATGATGTGGATGGTAAGGCTATCTGCCCTTCCAACGGCTGTAGCTGTGAGGATATAAGAATACAAAAACAGATAGCTAAGCATGACATCCTTACCTTATAAATATTGACAAAAATGTGGACAATTCCTATATGCTTTACCAGACCTGCAACATGACATTATGTTGATGCTCAAACACCTTCTGCATCCATTTATCAGAACGGGCGTCGCCAGAGGCCAGTGGCGTAGCTAGGATTTTTTGAGTGGGGGGGGGGGGGGGGGGGAGGGGGGCACAGGGGGCATCAGAATATCATGCGGGGCACACATCGCAAACGTCCTATTGCAGTTTTTCCCAGTTGGGCCCCATATTGCCTCGCTATATCCATTGACATAAGAAATTGTAAACAGTAAGCCTTTGGCTAACTGAAAAAATACAACTACAAAAACCCTTTGTGGTTGGGGAAGGAAAAGGGGCATTAATAGTATTTTGATGGGGGGGGGGGGGTCACCTAGCTGGGGGCACGTTCCCCCCCCCCCCCCCGGCCCCGGCGGCTATGCCACTGGGTGTGGCACCCCAGTAATAATTGTTTGTTGTTTTTGCCAAATCGTCCTTCTGTCGGCCAAATCGTATACCTCGCGCCTGTCGTCAAATATGCCGCCTATTATACCGCCACGTGTTGTCCGGTAGTGTCAAAGATGTAATAAAAAAAACCGAATAAGTTTCCCGGCTATTTTAAAACATTTTCGTTCGGATTCACCGATTCTTGTATTCAAACTCGTCCAGCAACATCGATTAAGTGCACTTCCAATGGTTAATTTCGTCATTTGACAGACAATTTCAATTTTAGTCCAAACAAATTCAAACAATCAGCACAATGTTTTCGACCCGGAATATTTCGTCTCGTCTAAACCTAATCATGTTATTCAGAAATCAAATTCGTCTAATTGATTTATATCAGACGAATTCTATCACTGAATGCTGCCATTCGGCAACAGCTTAGACGAATTTGATCTGTACTGACGAATATTCTCGACCCGGTGACTAAAGAGGGTGACTATACCTTGAAATTGAATGGTAAATGCGTAAATTAGTTTTGTTAAAATAACGTGTGAAATGTGTCGTCGACGAAATTAAATATATAATACAATTGGTGAATTTGAATGAAAAAACTTTTAAAATAGCCAGGAAAACCTAAGTTAAATTTAAAACGCATACTAGCAGTACCCTTTTCTTACCGTTTGAACGCACATCGTTCCACAACACCGTGTGGTTGGTTGTGCTGTACAGTATGATTGAGTAAGGATGTGCTGCCGTCTCTGTCTCCCATGGGCAGTTTGCTGTCGCGTCAGACTCGGTCACAACCAGCCAGCCTTTATCCCCCTCACATCCACCATAGTGGTTGTTGATGAAAAACCGCCGCTGAAGATTTTGTCTTAAACCAATCGAGAGATAGAGAAAGAACCAAGTAACAGCCACTCAACTATAGAGGGTTTGGTTAAAAGGATCCCACACACCTCTCCACTATAGATGTTCGAAAAAAATCTAATTCTAATTTTTTGTTTGGGGGGGGGGGGTGCCACTCCCTACTAAAATGGCTGATTTACAATGGTCATGCTTGATCATATTCCACCAATAATCACTTAAATCAATTCAACACTTCTGAAGTCGTGTTATCGCCTGAGGTTTCTAACTTCAGTACCAATCAACAAAATATTTCCTAAGCCCCTAATGAATCAATGAATTACAATATTATTGTGTGTAAATCGAACTGATCAGACGATTGACTACACCAGAGCTGTAATCAAGCCCTTCAAAAGTCCCTGCTTATGCAATCAGATAAAGGTGGACAAAGCAGCAAATTATAAAAACAAACAACACAAAAGCAACAGCAACAAACAACTATCCAATACAACAACAGGCTATACTTACTCTCGAACATCACCGTCGATACTGAAGATCCGCCCACTGCCTTCATGTCCGGTAAGCTCAGCCGATTTGAGATCATCCCAGGGAGATGAAATCAGGCGGGTCTGCGTGAACCAACTCTTGATGTCGGAGCCGGTTCCATTGAAGATCAACTCGGCTCTCACCCCCGCGCTGTTAGACAGGGAAAGCTTCACCTTACCAGAAAAGAGAGGACAATGATCGAAAATAACCAGACGCTATTAGTTTACATTCAGAATTAACCAACTAACAGAAGCGTAGACGGAGGAGGGGGGGGGGGTTTCCCCCAATATATTAAGTGCCTCCCTTTAAAACAAGTGCCCTTTTTCACCAACCGCCTTTTAAGAGTGTCCTATTTTGGATTTTGGTACAACCGTCGGCAATTATGCCGCCCTTAAAAGCGCCATCTATTGGGCATGATCGTCTGGTTCGATTAGTACCCCCATGAAGATGGTGCCTCCCCCTCCCAAACTATTTGATTTTACAAAGGCCAAGTGTCCGGAGAAAAAAACAACTTGATGTCTACATTTCAGCACGGATGTGTGGGTGCCCTTTACACGAACTTTTTACCCTCCCCAAACAAAAAAATGAGCTTTCCACACCTCTGAACTATTACGCAATGTGGCTTTAAACTTTAATTTTTTAAAGCATTTCATAATTGTGTTTGTGTTGTACAGTCACTCTGGTAAGCGATGAGCCCTCTGTTTCGTCATCATGACATACTTACTCGTCGGACATTCAGCTGTCCGTTGCGCCAGGCTTGGTAGAGGGAATTATTACGGCGATGACCACTCGCCTCATAACTCGAGGTCCAGTTCATTGAGGTCCACATGTCATGCAGCCTGACTCCAGTTCCTGCCACGCCTTTGAACACCAGTCGCCACTTTGGGTCTGTATAACAGAAAAAGAGAGTACCTCCCTTTTTCCAACATACTTCCATACATAATTAACTTTGAAAAAACCTCATCTATTGGCATTATTGTGACGTCATGACTAAGTTTAGTTTGGTATACAGCAATAACAAACAGACGCTGAATGTTGGTTCTGATTTTGTGCGTGTACATGACTGAGCTGTCATTTTTTTTTTTCATTTGCCAGGAAAAGGCAAATATAACAGCCATAATGGTAAATGACAAATTCTGGTTTTTTTTTAGGTAAACGTGTACATCTTTTACATTGCTAGGAAAGTATCAATTGCAAAATCAAATCGATTTTTCGAGATGAAACTCTGAAAGAGCACGGAGAATACATCTTTAAGTGTACGTTAAAACTATCCAAGGTGGTGACGTTAACACGACACCAACACATGGGAAATGGCATAGACAGAAGGATGTGAACAAAACAAGATTGTATCAAATTACCAATCGACAATATAGTTTTCGATCAGTCAGCTGGAGGTGTTTAGTTTACCATTGGCAGTTATTGGTGCCAATACTTCCTTTGTATCAATATTCTATTATATAGGTTTTCCCGACCAATTGCAGCATCAACAAAATCGCTCAATTTAACCCGAGGCCCATTAAAATTCGTTTTAAAATGAATGCTTTCTTAAATGGGCATTCGAGCATCAAAAAGAGTCGTTCGATTTCGTTTTTTAAGCAGTCTTTCGATGAATAGGTTCATTCATATGAAAATAGTCTTTTCGTTCATTCAAATTCGTCAAAGGCCTCAGAAAGAGGTTGAAAGAGAATTCGATTTAAGGAACTGGCAAACAGTTTTTCACATAGCTATATTCAAATTCATTTGTGTGGTATGCGCTTTCTGCTGAATGGTATTTGCTCCAACACATAATCCTAAAATACTATAGGTTTTCCCGGCCACTTTCACCAAGTTTTCATTCAATTTAACGCCTGGCTCATTCGATTTAGATTGAAATTGAAAGATCATGCAGATCGGCATTCGACAATCAAAAAGAATCAGTCAATTTCACTATCCGAGCTTTCTATCGCCTTTTAGCTTCACTCGTCCCTATCAAAGATTTATTCATATTAAAAGTATCGCGTTGTTCATTCAATTTCGTCTAAACCAGCAGTAAGGGGTTGATCGGGCATTCGTTTTCATTAATGGGCAAACATATTTTACATTTTGTCAAACATCTTTTAAGACTTCATATACGTGTCCGTATTCCTTAGCGTATTTGATGTCTTCAATCCGTAGATACCTTTCTTTCTTTATTAAAGGGTATGTGCAATGAATTTTTCTCAGGATTTTTTTTTGTGCAACTCTTTACTGCTGTGAAATGTAAGGAAACTACACATTTGACAGCATTTTGTTGTTTAATCTCATTGCAAAAGTGCACTTCTTTAAACATTTAAAAGTTTCCATGCTTTTCCGGACTGCGTATGAGCGCGTTGTTACTGTGATGTCATTTCAGGAAGACACTGTTCAGTTTAGGGGTTTTTCTTTCAAATTCATCCAGAAAACATTTGTGGGAAAGGGTTTGCTCATTGGCTTACTGTCATGTACTGACACATCATAGAATCACCAAAAATAAAAAAAATCTGACAGCAAAATATCCAAAGTTCTAGCAACTTTTTGTGCTGAAATAGCCATGTAACATTAATCATGCCCGGAATGCCATCATAGGTTTTCTAATGAATATGAAACTTTGCATTAGCATAGAAACAGAGAAGGCAACAAAAACACCCCTCAAAATGGAAAATTAAACTTGCAAATAAGGTTAAATGTGACACAAAGATGTATTTTCAATATTTGCATTGAAAACTTACTTTGCATGGGCCCTTTGAATACGGTAAGCGTTCGGTCAGACATACGCAAGAAAACATTTAAGAAATAACGCAAGAGAAGTGTTCCTGATGGTACAACCATTGCCAAACATTCGTGTCCCGATGTCTTGCACGTCAAGAAATCGCCAACATAAAGATGCCCCTTGCTCAAACGTTTAAACAAGTAGAAAAAATCAACAGTGAAAAAAAAAATTATCTTAGTCCCTTCCAGTTAATCATTTCATTACATCTTGTTTCCCTCATATCAGTTAATTTGTAACATTGTAAATTTTACAGTCATCAAGATTTTTTTTTTTTTGGGGGGGGAAGAATGAACCTCGGAGAAAAATAGGAAAATATATCGATTAAAAAAGGTTACTAATCTCAATGATAAAACGATGAAAGTGATTGCCCATAAACGAATAAGAAACGAAAAGCATGGTCATACGTTATAAGCGCACAGATGTTCACTAATTTGAACGCGTCAACCGTCAAAAGGTTGCAAAGACTAATTTAAGACTGCTACAAGTCAACTCGTGAATGCACCAAAACGAAATAGGCTGCCCAAAAATGAAAACGAACATTCAGAGCAAAATCTTGGCTGCCTAAAAATGAAATTGAATGAACTCAGAATGAAAACGAAACCCCAATTTGACCACATGTGCAAAACCCACGCGAAATTGAATGGCTGATAATGAAACTGATTAGAAAAATTAGGGGAATTCGCCGGGAAAATCTATATAACAGGGCTGGCGAATTTTTTTTATTATTATTTAAAAAATAATTAAATCGGATGTTTGTAATTTAAATCAGATTGTTTTGCTTTTTTTTTTTTACTTTCAAATGATTGATTTGTCGAAAAAAGTGTCTCAATCTTTTCAGGCATCCTTACACCCATTTAGAGGGAGTTTTTAGGTTCCTATAATACCCATCATCCACAAAACTCAGTATCGAGAAATGTGCATACAAAAATTACCAATTTACATTCATAAATTCCTTTAAAGAAATTGCATCGAATGTAAGTGATTTAAAAAAAAATCACTTGATTTAATCTACAGCATTAGTACAAGGGTACATGAGTACTGAAGACACTTTAGAGGTGCATGGCTTGATTGATGTACGGTCGAGATACATGTACGTATGGGTTTCCCGGCCAAATTCACCAAGTTTTCATTCAATTTAACGCCTGGTTCATTCATTTTAGAATGAAATTGAAAGATCGCGTAGATCGGTATTCGACAAAAAAATCATTCAATTTCACTATCCGTCCTTTAGCTTCACTCAAAATGTCGTATTGTTAATTCAATTTCGTCTGAACCAACAGTAAGGGATTGATCGGGCATTCATTTTCATTGATGGGCAAACATATTTCACATTCTGTCAAGCATCTTTTAAGACTTCCCGCCTGTTCGTATTTAAAGAAATTTAAAACTCAGTATCGAGAAATGTGCATACAAAAATTACCAATTTACATTCATAAGTTCGTATTTAAAGAAATTGCATCGAATGTAAGTGATTTAAAAAAAAATCACTTGATTTAATCTACAGCATTAGTACAAGGGTACATGAGTACTGAAGACACTTTAGAGGTGCATGGCTTGATTGATGTACGGTCGAGATACATGTACGTATGGGTTTCCCGGCCAAATTCACCAAGTTTTCATTCAATTTAACGCCTGGTTCATTCATTTTAGAATGAAATTGAAAGATCGCGTAGATCGGTATTCGACAAAAAAATCATTCAATTTCACTATCCGTCCTTTAGCTTCACTCAAAATGTCGTATTGTTAATTCAATTTCGTCTGAACCAACAGTAAGGGATTGATCGGGCATTCATTTTCATTGATGGGCAAACATATTTCACATTCTGTCAAGCATCTTTTAAGACTTCCCGCCTGTTCGTATTCCTATACAGTTATGTCATAAATTATAGCGTATATTATATCAAACGTCTTCAATCCGTAGATGCACACCTCTCTTCCTCAACTAAAGTGTTCAGACAGACAGAAGTAGCATGCGTGTCGCCAGGATTCTTTTTCAGGGGGGGGGGGGCAAAGCAAATTGTTCCCCAAAATTCCTTAACTTTTTCATTATTCTCAATTTTTCATTTTTCCGAGCGTGAGCAGGGGAGCATTTCGTTTTTCCGGCCGGGGGTGTCGCCAGGATTTTGTTAGAGGGGGGCAAAAAAAAACATTCTCGATTTATCAGTTTTAGAGGGGGGCAGGGACATTTTGCCCCCCCCCCCCCCCCCCCCCCCAACTCATTAAATTTACACCACTTTGTCTTCGCGCCTCTTTTTTTTTTTTTTTTTCTTCCTTTTTTTTTTTTTTTTGGCTTTTCCAGGGGGCGGGGCAAGTGCCCCCCTTGCCCCCCCTCGCGACGCCCATGAGGAGTATGATTGATCCTACAGGTGTGAAGGTGTGATTGTCTGATGGAAGTGGCCCGAAAAAATTGGAGAAATTACCCAAGAGAGGTGTTCCCGACGGTACAACCTTTACCAAACATACATTTCTTGATGTCTTGCAAGTCAAGAGATCGATGGGTGAATCAGTGATGAATAAAAAAAAACTTTCAAAAAACAGAACGAAAAAGAACAGTAAACACAGTTGAAAGATTAATAAACATGTCAACATAAAGATACCCCTTATAGATTTGTTCAAACTTGAACCAAGTAGAAAAGATCAACAATGAACAAGAAATTCCTTAGCCCTTTTCATTTCATTATTTCGTTACATCATCTGCTCCTCAATCATATCAGTTTCTTGTTACATTATACATATAGAATGCCACCAAACGAAAACGAACGTTATTTCATATAGAAGAAAAATCTTGGATGCCTAAAAATTGAAATTGAAGCCCCAACAATTTATTTATTCATTTCAGTATTTACAAATATTTTAAACATTAAAATTAGCAAATATGTTTATAGAAACAAAGGTACGTTATAACATGAAAACAAATAATGTTGCTGTGGATTCCTTCATGGGCAAATATGAAGCAACAAACACATACCACGGAAACGAATTTAAATGCAGACATTTGAACAATGTTTGCCGACTAAGTAAATTGAATTTTGATCAACCTCTTTCTTGGGCCCTTCGACGAATTTAAATGAACGAAACGACTATTTGAATTTGAATGAACTCATTTATCAAAATACTGCTCAAATAACCGAAATCGAACGATTCGTTTTAATGTTCGAATGCTCATGAGGGAATATTTATTTTAAAACGAATTTGAATAGGCCTCATGTTAAATTGAACGATGTTTTGATGAAATTGGAAAACCTAAATATATATACAGCCAAAGCGGGAAAGTTATTGGCAGCGTATTGGCTGTCTTAATGACGTTTTCTTTGTGTGTATTCGCGTATGCATGGATTATAAATTACAGCTTTTGTTGGCTTCGATGGAGCAAAATTAAAAAAATACATATACATTTCTGGGAAAGGGCAGACAAGACATATGGCGGCAGTTAATAGTTTTATTCCATTGTACACGTTATCGCTGTTAATGCGTTATAAATGGGAAGTCGAACAAAAACGGGGGAAAGGCGGTTGACATGTATAGAACGTTGAATCGAAAACTGTCACCGCATCCCGCCCGGTATCAATCAACCAAAAAGATTGTTAGTTTTGTTGAATCGCAAAAGCGGTCAATTTATTGGCAGTGTTGTCTTCATGTGCCTTCCTTTGTGTGTATTCCCGTAGTTACTGCATATTAGAAGCGGCTTAATTAATATACATTATATTTCAACAGACCCCCCCCTCCCAATATTAAGTAAAGAGAAACTTTCGTTGATTCCCGCCCCGTTATTGTTGAACCCAAATGGCGATTCTTGTAAAATATCGAACACGGGGACAAATTCATTGGCAAACGTATTCCGATTTGTATTGTTTTTTTTTTTTTGGGGGGGGGGGGTGGGGTTGGTTCGTGGGATGTTTGTTGTTTTGATGTTTTGGTTTTTTTTAGTGTAAAACGACAATCCTCAAGTCACACTCAGTCCGTAGAAATGCCCCCCGAACATGGATAGCAATAAAACGTTAAATGGTTGACAAAACATCGTCAGATTTTGTAAACTTTTAATTTTTTTTCTCAGTTTTGACCAAAAATGTCTTAGACTTTATGAATCGAAATAAAAATGGTTTTAAACCGGTAAGGGGCCTAGGCGCCGATAATGGACCCCGCCTGCGGCTCCGGCGTTTGAAACTGCTGTACCACATTATTAATGCCTTATATTGGCAAGAAGTTTCATCAATAAAGAATGCAATGAAATAAGTACATGTGGACACTAAACTCAAGAAAGATTCCGATGGTGAATAATTGACCCATAATAACACTTGGTTAATTTGTGTCCTTCGGAGCAACAAGGCTAGTATGTGGCTCATAATTCTTACCTTGCATATCATCAGCTGGACATGGAGCTTTGGGCTTATTCTCAAGGCAGCTGTCAGCTGACGACTGAAGATTGCACCCGGATTCCTGAAAAAAAAATCAATATATCAATAAATAAAATCAACAAATAAATCAATATCGAAATTGCGATTTGCAGTTTTTACGCGACAGTCCAGCCAGTCCTTTAATTTTTGTCATTTAGGCCAAGTAATAAAATACACCAGTTGATCGCCTGGATGAGGGCCTATTTTATTGAAAAACAAAAGGCTATTTAGCCATATTTAGCTTACAAGATATGTGCCTTAAAAAGGAGGAGGCCCTATTTATTTGATAGTTCTGGGTAGTTGTCTACTAGTAAATGATCGGCCCACTTCCGAAACATCTTTTAAAAATGTTATTTCATTGAAGGTATAGTTTAAAAAAATTTTTTTTTTTTGCGGGCCAGCAAATTTCTAACTATATATCAATGGTACTGAACGAATTGCGAAGTGGATACAAAGTAATGGATCGAGCTGTAAATGCTACATATTGCCGGTCTCGTACTCTCGACCCGAGACCAGCCAAAATATCGTGACCAAAGGGGACCGAGACCGAGACCAAGATCGAGACCACAGCTCCCGATTCCGAGACCGAGACCGAGACCAGCAAAAAGTGGTCTCGAGACCGGTCTCAAGACCGGAACTACAACATTAATCAACTGAATGAGAATCATGTTTGGAGTGCCGATTAAGACATTTTATGCGAGAGGGTACAATTTACAAAATGAAACGACAACTTTTGCATCGGAACTTCGGAAGTACAAGAAAGCAACGCAATACAATTGCGAGATTTTCTGTTCTCTCAAAATGTAACATGCCCACTGCCTTGAAAGTTCAACGGGTTAACTGTTTTACTCTGCTTACATTACATTTCGAGAAATGTTGTTGCTTTAAAAGGAAAACTGAATGAACATATATGTACCCTTAAATCGTATTCAATCCGCTGACTATATATACAATCACGATTTTTAAAAAACAATTTGATCTACAATTAATTGGAAATAAATGAATATGTCACAGGTTGATTTTTAATCCAACTTACTCTTGAAATGAAGAAAAATATGGCCATATATAACATTACGGCCTAAAACGTCTGTTTTCGGTTAAACGTACAAGTTGAGACACACAATATATTTTCCTTTGGGCCGTCACGCCCAACCATTTCCATAGAAACTAATAAACCGTTTGAAAATGGTTTCTCTCGAATCAAATCCAGTTGTTCAGTTACTGAAATTGATCCATGCTATTACAAATTATGCATGTTTTAGGCCAAAAAAAAAGTATCCGGTTTCTGGTATGGAGCTTGCCCCATAAGTGGTGCGGCGACGCGGCTTTTTTTTTTTTTTTTTACCTGTTTTTTTTTTTTTTTTTTTTTGGCTTCAAATGTCGGCTGATGACTGAAAATGGTGCCCGACTAAACTTAGTGCAAATATATGGGAGTCCATAGAGGCCACACAAAGCTTATTCTCGATCATAACCCCATCTAAAAACACGTTAAAATTGTGCAGCAGCAGAATTCCAGTGAAACCAGTGAGTTTGGCGGTTTTGAGACATCATCTTGTATTGAAAAAAAAACCTTTTCATTTTGCCGACGCGCATGGCTGCGGCGACGCGCGCGCATACCAGAAACCGGAGACTTTTTTTTTGGCCTTACTAAAAGAACCTATTTTTTTTTTACAGCTGTCCGTGGAATGCCATTGGAAGCTATTGAGCTGAGTGAGAATTACAGATTACACACAGGCATTCAAAAACAAACTGATTTCAATCATTTGAGTCAAGACTGAAACATTATTGTTATTGTCAGATTTTGTGATTTGAATATGAGGAACAAGTCCACTCTTTTAACTGAAATATTGATGGCGACTGTTTATGTATTTCTTTGCGAGTTTTCGTTCTTTCATGGAGGTGCGAAAAAGTCCATGTTTCATTGTATTTAATGGGTATTCATCAGCTCGTAGAACGGTGAATAATCAGTGGTGGACAGCTGAATTTTGTGATCTTTTCATTAAAATAGTCATAACTTAGGAATAAAGTATGCAAACTAAATTTTCAAAGTTACTCTACAACATGTATTGTTATTTATGTATTATCAGAAATTATCTCTATTTTGTTTTTATTAAATAGAGCAACCCACATATTTGTAAAAAAGAAATTCTAAGTCGGTCACTTTCTTTTTGAAACCATGTAGAGAACTTTACTAAGTTAGTGTGAGCTCAACATTATATCCATATCCCACTGTGTATGAAAGCAGTTTGTATTCAAATTTAATACATGTTTGAACAAGCCATGCAGTAGTCATCCAAATCATGTAAGTTTATTTTGTATGAAATAATACTTTGTAAAAATTATTTTAAAAAAATCTTGGGATTGTAAAAGTTGATTTTTAAACTGACAACTGTATTTTTCTCAAAATTTTAATCACAAGACATCAAGGAAACGTTTTATGGATGTGAAAAACCCACTTGAGCCAATAAAAAAGTTCGATATTTTGTGTGAAAAAGCGCAAATTCTCTGAATTTTACTTTGTATTTCGTTAGTAAAAATTGTATTACTTTTTTACTTTTTTATCGTTTTAGTTTCTTTTCTGGTAATGTTGACCTTTTTGCATATAGACCATCTGCTTTTTGTGCTTTTTTTTGTCGTCGAAGCAAAAAAATTGCTCAAAATCTTAAGAAGGGTGCATAGTAATTGATGATAAGAAAACATAGAAAACGTATACACCATTTTTGGGATTGGACTGGTATACCAAATACCCTGTTATATGATTCCGCCTGAAATGGTATCAGTAGAAAACAATCATTGAAGGTGTTTTATTAAGAAAATGTGCCCATGGGCACAACTTCGTCTGGCGTTGATAGCAATCGCAAAATGGAAAAATAAAACTTGAAAATAAGGTTCAAATGTGTCACATAGATGTATTTTCAATGTTTGCATTGAACAATTATATACTTTGCATGGGCCCTTTAAATAAGTGTTCGGTCAGACATACGCAAAAAAAAAACATTTAAGAAATTCCCCAAGAGAAGTGTTCCCGATGGTACAACCATTGCCAAACATACATGCCCCGATGTCTTACACGTCAAGAAATCATCCACTCAAAAAAGCCCCTTAATCAAACATTTAAACAAGTGGAAAAGATCAACAGTGAAAAAGAAATTATCTGAGCCCTTTTCATTTCAGAACATCTTGTATCCCTTGTATTAGTTAATTTGTTACATTGTAAATCTTTACAGTCACCGATATGTTTTGGGGAAAATCAACCTTGGAGGAAAATAGGAAAATATATCACTTAAACAAATCTTATTAATTTGAATAACCAAACGATGAAAGTGATTGCCCATAAACGAATAAGAAACGAAAAGCATGGTAATACGTTATAAGCGCACCGACGTTCGCTATTAATTTGAATGCGTCAACCGTCAAAGGTTGCAAAGACTTAATTTGAGAATGCTTCAAATTAAGTCTTGAATGCACCAAACGAAATAGAATGCCCCAAAACGAAAACGAACATTCAGTCCGAAATCTTGGCTGCCTAAAAATGAAATGGAATGCCCCAAAAATGAAAAAGAAACCCCATTTGACCACGTGTGTAAAACTCACGCGAAATTGAATGGCTGATACTGATTAGAAAAGTTCGGAAATTGGCCGGGAAAACCAATATTATGTGACGTTATTTTAGGAAAATTTCAGTAACAGTATCCGGGTGCTGTGGCGGAGATCTGTGAGGTTGGTGGGGGGGGGGGGGGGGGGGGTGGTGTTAGAATGAGGGAACATGTTCCCCAATCATTTTTGGGCGGGGACGCCAATGGCGTTATCCCCGCCAATAATTTGTCCCAATGCGTATAGATTTTAACCCAATGCATCTAAATTTGCACCGCAGTTTTTCAAAATAGCTGCAAGATATTGCTTGGGCACCACCCTTTTCGTGGAAATTGCACATAATGGGGGTAAATGCGCATATGTATTTATATATGTGAGTGCCACCTCCCCCCCCCCCCCCCCCCTCTGCTTTTTGAACTTTGAAGCTATCGGTAACTCGGTCTCCCTCCCACAAAAAATGTTGACAAGAAATTGCCACCGATGATCGGGTGGCAGAAAAGCGCCGACCCCAATAAACCCACCCCAGCAACCCCCTCCCCACCCTGCAATAAACATCGCCCTTGCTGCACCTCGGTCAAATTCAATCAATCAGGGGAAATAAACTGACCTGTTGGGTGAAGGTATACACGGAGCCAGCCTTCTCGACCAAATGACGGCCGGAGACGTTCAAGTGCGACACGCTGTTCAATTCGCACACTTTCTTCCGATACCAGTAGTTGGCCGATTGGCAACCGGGGGTGTCCAGGCAGGCCAAGTGGCACAGCTTGTGCGTCGCGGTGCGATTCGACGAGATGTTCCAACCGACCAAGGCTGTGTCTATCACGCTGCACCAGGGTTGCATTAGGGCCTCGACCCCGTCCAAAGCCCATAGCCCGGCCAATAGAGCCCAGGCCAGGAGCAACAGGCTGCACCGTCCGCTAACGGTGGGCTGTGCCGTCATGATCAAGCCGAGCGCTCGTACAAACTGAGCTACTTTCTACCAAACGTCTCCAATTATGACCGTCCCTCGCCAATATTAAGAGCGAGACGAATTCGTTACCAGGGTAAAGAGGTTGCACAATACGCCGTAGTAGCGTGACGTCACGCGGGGTCATCTCCAATAATGATCGAATAGGTGAATAGGTGAATAGTTTCTAGTTGAAATTTCTCAGACATTAAACAAAAAATGAGACTGGAAAATGGCGCAGTGCTTCGTGGCTGACTGTAGTCATCAATCAGAATGTAACGGATTCCTTTTTTTTTTGTTCAACGGATGAAAGACTGTCGAAAAGGTGGGCACCAATTTTCTATCGGTGTGCAGACCAGTAAAAACACTGCCATAGACCTTAGCGGTAATTACGCGCACTCCCCAAGCATAGTCCATCATCTTTCACTTTTTGTTCAATGAATAAAATATAGTTTTCGCTTTCGAGTGGAGCGAATTTATTACCGGGTAATGAAATGCGGCACATGAAGCTGCAGTTATCGTTAATAGGCTTCGCTTTCGCGTGAATATAAAGGTCGTTCATCCGTGAAAGGTCACTGTCGATATAGCCAAATTTGGCGATAAATTACAATGTTTCAATTTGTTTGAAAAAAAACAGAAAAAAATGATAAATAAAAGATGTTCTCCAGTAGAGTCTTTGACAAGTATACAGTCTGATATTTTTACGCATTTCCTCAGTTTTCGATTGTACCAGGATGATTCCTTTTTGGTTAGCGGCACATATTTTGAATCCCCTTCAATGGTTTTTAGTCCGAACAATTACCATTTCAGGCAGAATCATTTCTCAAGGGGGATGGTCAATGACCAAAATTGACCGGGGAGGTGGGGGAGGGGGACTGGACACCACATGGCACTAGGGGCGCTATTTATGTATGCAAAATATATAAGCGCGCTTTATCAACACGGTACATTTCAATATTTTGTGCTATTCGTTCTCCGTATTTCAGTGCTAATAAATCTGGGGTGTAGAAAAATAATTGGCTTTTTTTCACCACCAAAAAACAACAACAACTGGGGGGGGGGGGGTGCGGGAAAATACACAAAGAGAGCCACAACCATTAACGGCCTGCTTTCTGCCTCGGCTTCTCGCCCAAATGTCAATTGAACAACGAGACAAGAAATTATGAAGTCCCGTTAATCATTCCAATAATTGTATACTCCATTTTAGTCAAAATCGAACGTGCCTAAAAAGGCCTCCGCACACGATAGCTGCATGCTGAGCAAACGGTCTGGAATGACTTAACACTTGCACGTAGCTCTCGCGTGCGGCGGGCTTGACTGTTTGTACTATTTCAACACAGAGCACGCGTGATTAATGTTAACCGTCTGCTACGCACTAATGTCGTGGAACCTCCAACTTGGGAAACAAAAACGGTGGAAAACACTTCATGTAAGTAGAAACATTCAAGGTAGTGACATAACGAACACCAACCATTACACAGAAGGATGTAAACAAACAAGAATGTATCAATAGCCGACAGGGGCGGATCCAGGGGGGGGGGGCCATGGCCCCCCCCCCAAAAAAACGAAACCAATTTTTTTTTTTTTATGTGACAACGCAATAAAGGCAGGCAATGAGTACACCACCATCTTTTCCTCAAAAAACATTGGTTAAAGTGGTCAGAAATTGCCTCAGATCGCACGACAGAGCATCTAGAACCCAAAATGTTTTCGGGGCCCTTAAGCGGGCCCCGAACCCCACGCCGTAATTTTTTTGACCCACTTTTTGGGGGGACCAAAAAATTTTTGGCCCCTCCAAAATTGTGTTCTGCATCCGCCCTTGATAGCCGATCAATTTGGGGAAAGAGATATTGATCAGTTTTCGATAAAATCATCTCGCGTTTGATTCACCCTCGGTCAAACAAATCGCACTGAGGTTCAGTACCTTGTATTTAAGAATATAGAAATTCCAATCAAACAACGACACAAATATCAACAGTTTTCTAAAGAACCAAAACAACATGAGAGAAACATGTTGTTGCAAAATTAAAATCAAAAAAGATAAAAACGTGCTGCGCCAAGGGCGGATCCAGAACACATCAAACAAATTTTTTTTGGGGGGGGGCGCCAATGAGGCAATTTCTGACCACTGTGACCAAGTTTTGTGAGGAAAAGATGGTGGTGTTTACGCAGTGCCTGCCTTTATAGCGACGTCACTTACAAACAAAATTGGGTTCGATTTTTTTTTTTGGTGGGGGGATGCCCCCCGGATCCGCCTTTGGGCTGCGCTAATAAGTAAGGCTTTGGCGAGGCCTTTCTGGTTACGATTTGTTCAACACGTGTATTCAATGGGATTATTGGTAAGCTGCTGTCATTTATAATGCAGTGACTCCGGAAAATACACAAAGAGAGCTACAACCATTAACGGCCGGCTTTCTGCCTCGGCTTCTCGCCCAAATGTCAATTGAGCATAAATGATAAGAAAATTGATGAAGCTCCATTCATTATATTGACTGTATATCTCACTTAATCGCAACACCAATATCGTAAAAGCCAGAGCGCCTTAATGACTGCCTGTACTTTTTCATCACAGAGTACCGGTGTCATATGAAAATCGGACTCGTATGAAAATCGGACTCTTTGTCCCTTTTATTGGTTAAACCCTCTCACGTGACTGGTCCCTCTCCTAATTATCTATGCATGAGCATGCGCAATACCACCAAAGAGTCCGCATTTCATAAAACCTAAATTCATGCTACACCGGTACGCGTAACCCTTGGGTAACCCGCTTGGTACGCACCGTCGTGCAGGCGCGGATCGGGTGGGGGGGGGGGGGGTAAAAAAAAAACCTGCTCTGACCCCCCCCCCCAAAAGACAATTATAATTACCGATAATGTCCGCCTGTCCGCAACAATCGGACTGTACAGAGGCGTAGCCAGCGGGGTGTAAGGATAGGGGGGGGGGTTCACATAATTGTCTGATAGTGTGCAAAGATAGATTGTCCGATAGTGTGCATGATCGTCCGATTTGAACAGTGCCCCCATTGGAAGATGGTAGTGTCCAAAGAGACAACAGGGGTACAGATAAGGGGTAAACAGGAGTGCAGTTAGGGCAACAGGGGTGCAACTGCCCCTCCCCTGCCCTGCGCAAATTCCTGGATCCGCCTGGCGTGGAACCCCCAACTCACAAAAATGTGGGAAACGCTTAGAGGTAGAATAATTGAACCATTTGTCATTTGTAACTTTTTTTACGTTTGAACCAACAAAAGTGTTCAAAAAAACAGAACAAACATAAACATAATATTCTGGATCTCGATTTCAATTCCAAGATTACCGAATTGCGCTTCTCGTGACACAATTCCGAAATCAGAAATCGGGACACGGTTCTCATCTAGCCGGCTGTCACCCAGTCCTTTTTTTTCGGGGGGGGGGGGGAAGCACACTTCCCCCAAAAAATCATTGTACTTTCTCTTGCTTGTTCATTCATTTATCATTTTGTTTGATGGTGGGGGGGGGGGGGGGGACAACCCCATCCCCATTGACACCCCTGTGACATCCATGTTAATATGCATTAAATTAACAGCAATATGACTTCGCACCACTGTTTCTTTTTATTTCTTTTGTCTTTCCTCCTTGTTTTTTGCTTTTCCGGGGGGGGGGGCCTTGTGACACCATTGACCCAGTCACGGATTCGCTCAATTGCAATAAACTACAAATTAGAACACATGGGGCGGATTCAGGGATATTTCCAACTTGACACATCTTTGTAGATGACCTTCTTCGGTTGTTTTCTTTAAATACAGCATGCACAAAGGAATCATGTCACAGGCACTTCAGTGGCATTACTATTTTAAACCAAATACATTTTTTCAAAATAATTTGGACGGTTTCTTTTTGGATAGCTGGAAACGGTCTACTATACCCTTGAAGATGATACCCCATGCTCTTCAAAAGAAAAACGTTTTTCCCTAATGAACATTTGATTTGCACGTTTGGGGTTCACGAAAAAAAATACTTTATTTTGATTTGGGCGTCTGCAACCCTCTGGAAAAAAAAGATTTTCTTTTAGTGCACAGAAAACCCGCCCTGCGAGAACCGAGTTATTGCCTGGCAGCCAATAATTCGATTTTGTGAAGAAATAATTCAATATCTAAACGCGGGTGGATTTGTTTTGTCCAATGCGTCATTCAAAAGTGGTTATCTTTAATATTTCTAGGAAAATAACAATTGCAAAAATAACCCAAATCTATATTTTTTTCCAGAGGTGAAACTCGAAAGTATCACGAGGAATGCATCTTGAAGGTACGCAGAGACGTTTAAGACGGTGATATAAACACGTCATCAAACCATGGAAACTGTATAGACAGAAGGATGTGAACCAAACAAGAATGTATCAATAACCGATCGATTGTAAAGTTAATTGATCAGTTTTCGATATATTAGCTGGTATTGGATTCCCCCTTCGCAGTTATTGCTGTATAGAAATAATGACCGTCCTCCAGTGGATAGCGCTCTTAAAGGTTAAATTTTGTTTTTTAGAATTAAGATATAACATTCCCATAAAATGACATGTTTCAGGAGTTTTCAAATGAAATTAAACAAAAACAAGACAACCCTTATAAGGTGATTGCAAAATTCCCATTTCTTATATAATTTTGTTTTGAGCTGCTTAATAAAGCAGTTACTACGGGAAAAACACAAATAGAGCTATAACCATTAGCTGTCTGCTTTCTGCCTCGGCTTCTCTCCCAAATGTCAATTGAACAACGATGACAAGAAATTAATGAAGTCCCGTTAATCATTCCAATTGTATACTTCACTTGATACGTATATATATTTTCTTGTCAGTTGCTGTCATTTATAATGCATTTTCTCCGGGAAAATACACAAAGAGAGCTACAACCATTAACTGCCTGCTTTCTGCCTCGGCTTCTCGCCAAAATGTCAATTGAACATTAATGATAAGAAAATTAATGAAGTTCAATTTTTTTCAATTGTATACATCATTAAGCGCAAGGCTACCATAAAATATGTAAAGCGGTTATTAATTTCCTATACTTTTTCATAACAGAGTACTGGTACCGTCTGGTACACACAAACGGCGGCGATTTCTAGAAACAAAAAAAATTCTGGGGGGAGGGGTTTCACTGCAATTTAGGCCTATGAATTGAATACTTGATCCTGACAGTCCCAAGCACGTCTTTCACCGGATGCTTTCATTTTTCGTCTTAAATTTTTTTTCCTGATCATTATTTTTGCAACAGCAATCACCAATGTGTACCGAACGATGAATTGTAATATTAAAAGAAGATATTTTGCAAATTCTCCCAACAATGACTTCCTGAAATCATTTTGAAACCTCACAAACTAATGTTTTGTCTAAAATACAAAATATTTCCAAATTAAAAGCTGTCGCTAGAGTGTACCATGTCGGATTATGACGTCATCTTACCGTCTTTTGTGTTTGACTTCCCTAACTGAACATGTTTGATAATTTTTGTTGGATTCTATGGGTTTTCCCAGTTGGCTCATTCTCCGTTCAAAAATGCGATTTTCGTGTGGCTCGCTTTGCTATCAATTATCACTGCGAGATATGGCTCTGAAACCTGTAGAGAAGAGGGGTTAAAGCTGGCAAAAGCAGTGGAACAGTGAAGTTGACATGCATGGGTGGTTCTTGTTATATTCCCATTTGGCCAGCCAAGGTGCTCTTTATGTAAAGTATTTCGTTCATTACACATACCGATATCCGATATACATTCATAGTATGCGCAAAATATAAACTTTAAAATTGCTCGTGACATTTTCGTCATCCTTTGGGTATATGTTGCAAATTTCATGACCAGATTATTAAGACATTTTCAATGTTTCATAAAACATATGTGCTTAATCTTACATAGGCCTACGTGAGTTTTAACAATCCAAAATCGACTGAAAACAAAACGATCATGAAACATGTACTGAGGAAGTTGCAGTTCCATTATCCTAGTCCATGTTCATTTCTTGGTTTTTTTACCAAATAACGCAGTGATATCAACTATATTCGCAATGGGTAACTATTCAAAACTACACAAGTTGACTAATCCTAAGCATTGTGATGTTTCACTGAAGATGCATTTAATATGTTCGACTGTGTTTTCAAAAATGTTTTTGTCATAAATCCAAAGTCAAACGTTGCATTTTGCTGTACATCAAAGCAGAATGTGTTCAAGAAAGTGAAGCATGTCTACAACAAGAGATGACATTTGCCGCATCAACGAGGTGATCATTCATTTCTGTTTTATCTACACAAAAAAAGCACAATAAAATATACGTCCGCATCTTAACTCGTGTTTTCAAAACCCAGGCGGCTTTTAAAGCATCGGTTTTTTTTCAGCCGTCGATGAGCACAGATACTCGCAAATATCCGGACGAGGGTCCATGAAACAGTCACTGTTTAGTGGACGTAAGCCGATGAGCGAAATGTACAGCGTTGAATTTAGCTGAAAGGTGTAAGCCGATAGACACAGGTGATGAACAAGGTACTTGCCAACGTCAGGACATTGACGACGTTGCTGTTTTGTGGAAGTTAGCCGATGAGCAAATAGCGACATGGATGTTGGGCAATGGTAAGCCGATGGTCACAGACATGAACAATTACAACGTAGGTTTCCCAAATCAGGACATTGCATGGGCGTAGGGGTGGGGGAGGGGGGGGGGGAGTAAGGGAGTATTTTCCCCTCCAAAATTTTGTAAAGACTGTCCTTTTCCATTCGAATGCCCTTTTTTCCACCAGTGCTTACCCCCCCCCCCCATTATTTTGTAAAGAGTGCCCTTTTTAAGAAGTGCCTTTTTTTTTAACAAATGCCCTTTTTAATGCCCCTCTCACACCAATCCAAGACCAGTGCGCGGTCACTTCGGAAATGCAATTTTTTCAACAGTATACGTGATCTCCGTTTTTTGGGCGTCCGTTTTTTGATGCCAGCACGTTTTTATTTCGTGATACCCGTTTTTACTTCATTGGTAATCCGTGGCCACCTCGGAAACACCACGGGACCAACCCGTGCTCATGTCCGTTTCCTGGAATTCACGGACTGCACGCCGGCGACATCTCGTGGCCATCCCGATTGCATCCCGTGATGACTTTGGCGCCAGCTCGAGGCTACTACGTGGTGTCAGTGGTGACTACGGTGCCAGCTCGAGAGTACTACGTGTTGTCCGTGATAACCCCGTACTAGTGCCATCGAGTACCGCGTAATAAAAACGGCCGTAAAACAGGCCAACAATCAATCCGGGGCCATCCCGTAAAGTCCGATGTAACTTCAGCCCACCTCGAGAACACTACGAGAGTACTTCGAATAAACCGTATTGAACACGTTTTCAATTCGGCAATAAATGTCAGAAGTGCACACGTTTCAGTTTTTCAACATATCCAACAACTTTTTGGGAGATCCGTGGAGCATCCGTGAGAATCGGCCCACGGAAGGAATCGACATGTCCTTAATTCGTGGTTAGTTCGTGGCAACCCGTGTTATCCGATTCCATTTCGCGTGGTTACTTCGATTTTTAAACATTTGCGCCCACGGACACCTCGAAGTGGCCACGAAATGGCTTCACGTATTGGTGTGAGAGGGGTCTAAAAAAGAAGTGGTGCCCTTTTTTTGTGCCATCGGCCGTTCCCGTTGCATTTTTTTGATTGTCACGCATGTTTCGCCATGAAAAGCACTAGATATCCGTCATATTCGTCGGTTTTGAACAGCGCCCCCCCCCCCTCCCCGCCTTTTGATTTTACGGAGGCCAAGTGTCCGGAGAAAAGAAACTTGTCTACATTTCACCACGGATGTGCAAGTGTCCTTTTCAAACAAATTTCCCCCCCCCATAAAAATGACCTTGCTACACCAATGCATTTATATATGAAACAGTTCTGTGTTGTTGAGTTTAGCAAATGAGTGAAAAGTGATGTGTTTGTCAGCAGATGGATGTTAGCCGATGAGCAAGATAAGTAAATGCAAACACATCAGGAGGAATGTGAAACAGTCGTCGTTTAGTGGATTTTTGCCGATGAGCGAAAAGGTGTTGTGGATGTTTCCCGATGGATGTTAGCCGATTAGCTCAGGTAAGGTACGTGCGAACATCGGGAGGTACATGAAACAGTCGTTGTTTAGTGGACGTTTGCCGACGAGCACAAGTAATGAACAACCAGGTACTTTCCTAGAATGGGACAAGGGTCTCCTCCAAAGAAGGTGTTGGAGGGGATGAAGGCGCATTGAGGTTTTCCCTGACATGCTGCCTGCACCGTCGTCAGTGACGTGGTCGGATCGCCGCACGGTACAGCTGCGTTGATTTGACAATCAATGGTGCCGTCCTCGCGGCCGTAGAGGGCCCACTCCACGTCGATGGTTCCCACGTCACATGCGATGCTGAATGGGTAATTCTCACAGACGAGTTTCTTCAGCAGTGCTTTAGAGAAAACAAATCATGAAATGCGAGCAAAATGATATTCATGAACCAATACAAAAAACATATAAAAGATCTTACCATATAGGCGTTGCCAGCGGGGGGGGGGGGGGGGGGGGGGGGGGGGGGGGGGGGTGCCCTCTTTTTTTTAAGAAGTGCCCTTTTTTCTGAACAAGTGCCCTTTTAAAAGAAAAAGTCGTGCCCTTTTTTTGTGCCATCGGCCATTCCGGGTGCCTTTTTTTTTTTTAATTTCACGCATCTATAGCCATGAAAAGCCTCATGTTAGTGTGATATCCGTCGGTTTGGAACAGCGCCCCCATCGACAGATGATATCTCGCTAAGTCGACTTCCTGAAGTCGAGATGACAACTTGTCAAGATAAATTATCTCGCCAAGTCGACTTACGATGAGGAGATGATGACATGCAAAAAATCTCGTTCTGTATGGATATCCGTTTTGAAGCACTGTCTTGTTTCTTGTTCGTCGGTGCATTTGAGGTTCTCCCATCCGTTCTTATGTGAACAATAAACTGGCAGAGGAACAAGAGATAAACTGTAGGGTATTGATTTGATCTGGGTCGAAGTTGATTTGTGGGTTTTTTTTCAACTTGTTTTAAATTACTCCCCCAAGCTTCGTAGGAAATCACACCTCTACCTGTTTTCCCCTATTTATCCCGTTGAAAAGTAATTCACTTCACGTTAAACATTAACAATCATGAATTCCAAAAAATGTCTTATTGACAGGTTGCCTAAAAATGACACTTACAAATTCAAGATTTGCTTTAAATCATATTGAGATCATATTTAAGATAAAACGACTCTCACGGCTTAAATTGGAATATCGGAAAATTAGCAAAAACTCTTGTCTGATATATTACGAGAAATGATTCGATAAAAGCTCTTATTGCCAACATTCAATCTGGGGCACTGAAGACAAAGACAAATTTGTGTTAATTTCAAGATTTTAAATGGGGAGCGCCGGGGGGGGGGGGGAGGGGCATTTTGTTGCAGGACATTATATTCTTTTACATTTCGTTCGGAAAAAAAAACAATCGAAATTTGAAAAAGCACGTATATAATTATACCAACAATAACCTTTCAAATTCCCAAAACTATACAATCATGTGTTGCATGTTCGTCAAGCTTAACAGCTTTTCCATAGATGATAATGCCCAAACGCTTTGCATCAAAGCAACAATATCTTTGCAATGAAAACAACTCTAATGACATCATTAATCATCCGTCTTTGTGCCGCTTCATGTGTGGAAAGGAAATAGACGAGCAGACGTTTTGCATTTTTTATGAACATCAACAAAAGAGACACAACCATTAGTTGCCTCTGCACGCCGCATTTTGATAAAATTTTCAGTTTCGGTGTCGTCGGGTATTAGTTTCTAGGAATGCTATTTAATAATTAAGAAATATCAAGTCCGTTTGCGAAAATAATTTACACGTTTCAAAATGTACCACAAACGTATTGACACTCAACTTTCCTTTAGTTCTAATTTTACATGTCTTTGTGTGTGTTTACTCGACTAAACCACAGATGTCCCCGGTCGATGCCCCATGAGTTGTAAGCTGGATAAACACAATCTACAAAGAAATAAATTTCGTCGAATTTTTGGTTTGTTGTTTTATATTTTGATAACATCATAATGATGTAAATAATAGTTGATGACTTATTTTGAGGTAAATTTAAATGTTCTTGTGGCAATAAAAAGACAAGTCAAGCCTAGCCAAGCTTTTCCCAAATCATAAAAAAAATTATATTCAACTGGTGCCGAATGGTTATTCAATTGAGGCCTTTTGCATGCATATGTGTACACAATAGCCCATTCGTGTGACGTTACGGGGTAATCCTGTACAATAGTACTGCCCAGCGCCCCTACTCCGACACCCCGAGAAATTATACTGGTATTATACGCCTTTCCCCAAAATACGGACAGAACCTGCTGGGTTAGGGGGTATTTGTACATCCCGTAACATATTATTGTTAATAATCGTCGGATTTGAACAGCGACCGCTTTGAAAGTATGGTACGAGCCACCCCCCCCCCCCCATTGTCCCAATTGTCCGGACAAAAAAACCCTGTCTACATTTCAGCATTGATTTGCTGATGAAACCCCACTCCACAAAAATTCCTGGTCCCGCCCCCGATTGTTGTTGTGCATATACGGCAATTATTATCGTCTACAAGGTGATTCAAAATGCAATCAAATTTGATACACAAATTTGATACAATGAAGTATGTCTAATAAGAGCATGTTCTTCCACTAATCTGAAAAAAAAAAGCAATTAGCTGATATTAATCCACGCCAACAGAAGTTATGCATGTTTTACTTAAAGAAAACCATTTTTTTTTATAGCTGTCCTTGGAGTGCCATTGAGCGTAGTGATAATACACACAAGCATCCATTAAAATGAGATATTAATAATTGAAATCAAGACCATTGTTTTTACTGTCAATTGTAATGGTTTGCATATGAGGAACAAGTCAACTCTTTTTCTTCTGAAATGTTGTTGGCGATGTAAAAATCCTCTGCAAGTTCTCGTTCATTCATCGAGGTGGGAAAACGTCCATGTTTCATAATACTCAATGTGTATTAACCAGCTCGTAGAATTATCAGAGGTGGACAGCCGAGCTTTTGTGATCTTTTTATTCAAATAGACATAACGTGAGATTTGAAGGTTTGCATGGTGGAAAGATACTAAGACAAGAAAAGTTTGCGGTAGCACCATGTGAATAACATTCTCCTGACGACGGGCAGAGCATACTGCTCGAAACGTTGAGTCCCTCGGTTCTTTTCAGAATCACACATACTCACAAAAGAGATTTATTCACATGGTGCTACCGCAAACTTATCTTGTTTTAGACATAACGCGGGAATAAAGTATGCAAATGACGTGAAATTTTCACAATTAAAAGTCATTAAGATGTACTATCAATTTTTAATAATGAAATTGAGCAAGCCGAATATTTTTAAATATTTTCAAATTCATTCATTCTTTTTTGACTCCCCTGCAAGGAGAAGCCGGTAGAAAGCCTTGCGAATCGGTATCGGCTGAGCATGCACCGCATGCATGGTTGTATACACGGTAGCCTCATCAGTAACCTGTACTCTGAAACCGACCACTCGCATGGCGGTTTGCATCATGTCCTATTAGCCAATATATTCGGCTTTTCCAAAAAGAGAGACTGACAACAACATTCCAAAGGGAAAACGTTCCTTTTGCGCAACTCACAGGCAGATGTGATAAAAGTATAATATTGTCGCATTATCCGGTTATGCTGTAAAATATGACCGGCGTTTGCATGGTGATAAAGGAAGGATATGAAAAAACATGCTGACATATATTTACAGTTATAATTCTTTTTCATTTCTTGAAAAAAAGGTAAAATATACTGGTACTATCAGTGGCGTAACTGGGTTGTGCCCCCCCCCCCACAACGAATGCCCGTGCCATAGCCCCCCCCCCCCCCGCCCGGCGCTCCCCGTTTAAAATCTTGAAATGAACAAAAATTGTCATTTGCCTTCTGTGCCTCATTAAAAATTGTGTGCACCCATGTGCCCCCCCCCCCCCCCCCCATCCACCCACCGGAATTAAACCTCACGCCACTGACTGTTAATGTCTATGATAAAAAAGTACTCTCTTCCACCTGGTGTCTTTCGTCAAGGAGGAAAGTATCATTAACTTATTAATAGGGAAATTGTTTAGGTTCTTGGGAATTTGAATTACATGTTTGACAAAATTTCATTCTTCCCGATGGATTTTCTCAGCCTTAACAATTTAGGTCGATTTGTGATCTAAAATCGCTTGTAATGTCATACACAGTAATATTGAGGCCGATGTCTCATTCAAAAGTGAACAACTTCTATATTGCTAGGAACAGAATTTTATCATAATGTGATGATCACAGTGTGATTTTAGTGTGCTAAGGCTAATCAGAAGCTAATGTCCTTAATGAAACATTGATTTAGTGTTGACAATATAAAGTGATATCTTTATCAAATAATTTCTCGTAATATATCAGACAAGAGTTTTTCTAAATTTTCGATATTCCAATTTAAGCCACGAGAGTCGTTTTATCTTAAATATGATCTCAATATGATTAAAAGCAAATCTTGAATTTGTTAGTGTCATTTAAGAAAGCAACAAGTTTTATGCAACCTGTCAATAAAGACATTTTTTGTGACACAAACACCGGTGTAAGACAGTAATCAAGGCCGTTATTATCCCTATTACACTGTTTTAGTATGCAATTAAAAAATTTTTTTTTTAGTTTTCTAGCAAATAACCTCCTGTCTCCTGTGCTTCGCTAATAAAAAAAGGTTTTGCTGTGTATTTTGTGTAAGTGAAAGTAAAGATAAGACCTATTATATAAACGGAACATTGTGATTCAAGGCATTGGTGCTGGATATCCTTATTATGAATGGTGAGGGCGTGTAGATAACGAAATCAATCATTTTGACTTAACTAGATAAAAGATCAGCCCGTAGCCAAGGGTTTTTGCTTTCGGAGGGGGGGGGGGGAGAGGGAGTTTAGTTGCAACTTTGGCAACTGTGCAAAAGCCGCTCTTAAGATTGACGTCAAACGCGATGTAAAAGCTGTTTAAGTCAAAATGGTTTTTGTTGAGGGTGTTTAATCTGCACTTTTTGGCAAACGTATTGCTGCCGACCTCGGTATAAATTTATGTCCTCGTGGCAGCCCAGACAAATGGCGCTCAATTTAATTGGAACGAATTAAAAAAAAAAATTAGGGAGTTTTAAAGATGTAAGTTTTAAGCATAAACTAACTGGAAAACCTATAATAAAATGCCTCCGTTTTCTAGTTGTATAGCCCCAGAAATAAAGGTCGGGTGGTTTGGTGCCCGGGAATAAAAATGTTCCCCAAAGTCACCGTTTTTCTCTCATATTTTCGGTCAAGGGTTCATGTTCATACCAGGCTTCATCCGGCTTCATCCCTTGCACATATTCAACGAAATTTGTTTCGTCTTGATTTATAG